AAAAAGATCGATAAACAAAAAGACTAACAAACCAAAATCTCAGTCACTTTTTACCCAGCAGAAAACCAAATTCTCAATTCCTGTTGTAACTAATGGGGGTTAATTTACTGGAAAGATCTAGAAACTTAAAACAAACAAACAAAACTAAAAACCAAACGAAAAGGAAAACAAACAAACAAACAAACATATAAACAGTAGGGAGAATAGAAAGGGGAAAAAATGAGAGAACTGGAGAGTCAGAAAAGATAAAGTTCTATCGATACTTGAAATTTTTTCTGGGAACTAGAAAAGATGTGCTTTCACTTAAATAGCCCAGAGGTGAACTTCTCCAGTAATATAATTTATTTGGCTCTGTCAGATAAATCTACTGGGCCATCTTGGTGAATGATCTACAAAAATAATAAAGTACAATTTACAAAAGTTAAAAAAAAAAAAAAACCCATGAATCGTATGCAAATATAAGCATAGGAACTACATGATGCAGCTTTTATTCAATTATTAATTATGGTTCAAAGGAGAGTTTGAAGGACACATATATACATAGATACACACAATCAAGAATGCTGAAATGCATTTGCTAATAGATGCAGAATTGCTTAACATCATTTATCTGAAGTAAAATGAGATGTTTAAGAGTTATCTTTTCTACAGAATAGAAACAAATATTTTCTCTACTGGATAAAATAAATTTCCATTGCTACAGACAAGAATAATTTGCATTTCTATCAGTTTTTTACAGGATTACTACTACTGCAAAATTGCTACCATTCCAGTCAATGAAGGTCAGTCAAAGGAGCATACAAATATGGAGTCAGATAATCCCCAGAGAGTCTGCTAATAATAATCTCACACCACAATATGAAACAATTATTTTAATATTTCTAGATTCTCAACTTCAATATGTACACTTCCTAACATTGATCTTCCTGAGAACAAGCCTGCAGGTACATGCTTTATGTCTGCTCTTTCTTCTCACTTCCCTTTCACATTTGTACTTCTTGAACTTGATAAAATAAATGCATTCTCTTTTACACTCATTTTTGTTTTCTGAGGCAAACAAACAAACAAAAAACTCCATGGTATATTCAACAAAATTAATTAGAAATACAGATGTTTGAGAAGTCTTCTCTACTGAGGACACTATAAACCTGCCCCTCACCCCTATGAAAGATGCATTTCCAGTAGAAATTCACTCATTATTTATTTTAAAATTTTAGTACGTTTGTTCAGTTCTAGATTAAAATTAATTTTAATTGTAACTCAAGGCAGAATAATATTTTAAGCTTTAAAGCCTGATGACACAATGATTTTAAATGGATTTAATTTTAAGACTTTATAAATTTGTTTTTGAAGTATAATAAAATGGTTTAATAAAAGACTTTCAAGCATAAAATGTATTTCTTTAGAAAAAAATCTTACATTAGATATGGAATAGCCATATAATTTTTAAAACAAAAGGAACTATATGTAATTTCTAACTGTTGAAAAGAGTTTGATCGTGTGTTTTTTAAATGCATGATTGTGGCAGCAAGCTGCTATTGTATTACTAGTTCATGGGATACATTTAAAGAATCATATAAGCATATAAGATTTCTATTTAAAAATATAAATTATTAGAGTACGATAGAATTTATGTTTATGAAGTTTTTAATTCAATGATATAAATTTTAGGTTTGTATTACATTAGAATACTTGCTCTGCAGCCTGTATTTTAATTTATGAAATTTCTCAAAGGCATACTTTTGATTTCATGTACATTTTCCCCCAAATTGTTACTTGCTATTTTAAAGAAAAAGACCTTTGAAAATATGAATAATGATCTCATATAATTTATTTTGACCCAAAGAAGGGCTAAAGGATGAAGTAAGGAATAGTATTGAGATAATTGTCAATGTTTGAAAACTATGAAAAAGTGTATGGTCACTTCAATGGCAAAAAGGATAATTTCTGAAAAGATAATTTAAGTTTTGCTCACTATTAAGGTTTCCTTTCTTTATTCAGATAATATGCTTTTGGTTTTAGTAAATAATATTTGACCCAGCACATTAATCTTTGTAGATGAAATTTTAAGGGATACACATATAGGAGTGTGTGTCTCAGATAAACCCAAGTATAAATTACAGTAATGGTAAACAGCAACCTAAAGGTTTTGGCCAGCAGCTGGTTGGTTTGAGAACACTATGAGAGACATTTGGAATTATAATAATGCCTTCATGCTTAAAACCACCTTAGGAATCCTCTAGTTTTTACTATCTTCAGTTTATATTTTTGCTTGAAGAGTGCTTCTAAATATTTGCAGAACTGTGTCTCTTTCTTCTTATAATATTCTTGACCAATTTACCTGTTTAATTCAGTTTTTTAATTTTAAAAATTTTAATTATTATTGGTGCATAATAGTTGCATATCTTTATAGGGTATATCTGATGGTTTGATACAGTCATACAATGTGTATCAATTAAAGCAAGGTAATTGGGGTATCCATCATCTCAGGCATTTATTATTTCTTTGGGTTAAGAACATTCCAATTCCATTCTTTTAGTTACTTTAAAGTATACTATAACTTAGTGTTGGCTGTAGTCACTTTTTGTGCTATCAAATATTGTTCATTCTATCTATCTATAATTTTGTCCCCATTAACCATCTCCACTTTATCCTCCCCTCTGCACTACCCTTATCAGCCTCTGGTAACCATCATTCTACTCTCTGTCTCCATGAGATCATGTCTCCATGATCAATTGTTTTAACATTTGGCTCCCACATAGGAGTGAGAACATACAAGATTTGTCTTTCTGTGATTGGCTTATTTCACTTAACATGATGTTCTCCAGTCCCATCAATGTTGTTGCAAATGGTAGAAGTTCATTCATTTCTTTGGCTATATAACATCGCACTGTGTATATGTACCACAATTTCTTTATCCATTCATCCATTATTGGACAGTTAAGTTGCTTCTAAATCTTGGCTATTGTGAATAGTGCTCCAGTAAATAGGAAAGTGAAGGTATCTTTTCAATATACTGAATTCCCTTCTTTTGAATATCTAGCAAATAGTGGGATTGCCGGGTAATATGGTAGTTCTATTTTCAGTTTTTTGAGGAACCTCCATACTGTTTTTCATACTGGTTGCACTAATTTATCTTCCCACCAACAGTGTACAAGTGTTGCCCTTTCTCCACATCCTCATTAGTGTTAATTATTGTCTGTCTTTTTGATAAAACCCCCTTTAACTGGGATGAGATGATATCTCAGTATAGCTTTTATTTGCATTTCACTGATGACTAATGATGTTGAACATTTTTCATATGCCTATTGGCCATCTGTACGTTTTCTTTTGAGAAATATCTACTCAGATTATTGCCCATTTTTAATTGGATTATTTGATTATTTTTCTATTTAGTTGTTGAAGCTCCTTATATATTCTGGTTATTATTCCCCTGTCAGATGGGTAGTTTGCAAATATTTTCTCCCATTCTGTGGGTTGTCTCTTCACTTTGTTGATTGTTTCTTTGGTCATGCAGAAGCTTTTTAGCTTGATGTAATTTTATTTGTCCAATGTTCTTTGGCTGCCTGTGCTTTGGAAGTATTGCTCAATAAATCCTTGCCAAGGCCAATGACCTGAAGCCTTTCACCAAAGTTTTCTTTTAGTAGTTTTATAGTTTCAGGTCTTTGATTTAAATGTTTAATCTATTTTGATTTGATTTTGTATATAGTGAGAGATAATGGTCTAGTTTCATTCTTCTGCATATGGATATACAATTTCCCAGCATCATTTATTAAGAGATTGTCCTTTCCCCACTGTATGTTCTTGGCACTTGTAAGTTCACTAGAGATCTGCAGATTTAATTCTGGGCTCTCTATTCTGTTCCATCAGTCCATATGTCTAATTTTAAGCCAATACCATACTGTTTTGGTTACTAGAACTGTGCAGTATAATTTGAAGTCAGTTAATATGATTCCTGCAATTTTGACCTTTTTGCTCAGGATGGCTTCAGCTATTCTGCATATTTTGTTCTCCATATAGATTTTAGAATTTTTTTCTATTTCTTTGAAGAATGCCATTGGTATTTTGATGAGGATTACATTAAATCTCTAGATTGCTTTGAGTAGTATGTACAATGTTGATTCTTGTAATCCATGGTCAGCATTTTCTCTGGAAAGCCTTTTAGAACACTTCTTCTAAAACCTCTTGTCTATTTTTGTGTCTGTAACATTTATGCCTTTTTTGTCTTTGAAAACTTATGCCTATGCATATTCTCAATAAACATTTGGTGCATTAGATAAAAAATGAATAAATAAACAAGTGAGTGAAATCTAAAGCCAACTAAATGAACCAAAGTAAGAATTTTTTCCCCTAAGATTTTGGCAACAAAAAAGTGCTTATCTGAAACAGTTTCAACATTTGAGTTTAAGTTGAAAGAAAACATTTTGCAGAAATGAAGACAAAGCTAAATGCCACAAATAGCAATCATTGTCAATCTTACTTTTAGACAAAGAATAATCTCCAATTCCCATTGAAGAGCAAACATAATTCTACCAGTTTAGCTTTATTTTGGCATGATGGCAGCTGTAGGAAAGGCATATGATCTCCAAAATATTCATCAATGCACTCCTTGTTATGTATTTCAATTTCTCTTTGCTATGTCTACTTCTAAATATCAGAAAATTCGTTTTAGATTTTGAAAAATTTTCACAAATTTGGAAATATTTATAGATCAAATTAATGAGAAGCCAATGAGATATATTAATAACTGTAAACTGTCTTATTCCATAATATTTTTTCAGCTAAAAAATATTCCTGTGTTTATATTATTTTGTTTTCCAGTTTTTTTTGTAGTTAAAGCAAAATGTATTTCTGCAACAATGATATATGCATTTATATGTAGAGACAAAAGAGGCAAGAAATCTTCCTGTAACCATTTTATTTTAAAATATCAATCTAACATTTGCAAACATGAGCAGTACTTATGTCTCCCTATACTTGAATGTAGGCATTTTTCCAAGGGGCAATGGCATGGTGTGAAACTCATGTAATCTAAATCTTGGGATTAGAGGAAATCACCTAACCCCAGTGCAGGATGAAGAGACAAGTATGTAGTCAGTGACTTGTGGCACTTAATAAACCAAGAGTTTGGAGGAAAATGACCCAACAAGGAGAGAGAGAGAGAGAGAGAGAGAGAGAGAGAGAGAGAGAGAGAGAGAGAGAGAGAGAGAGAGAGAGAGAGAGAGAGAACAGCCAGAGGTAGATAATGTGTAGTGTGTGATGTCTGGGAAACCAAAAAAAGGGTTTGTCCTGAGGAAAACATTGTGATCAACAATGTTAAGTGCTGCTGAGGTGTCAAGTAAGACAAAGATGAGGAGGAATCTGCTGGGCTTTCTGACACAGAACCCATCATGGAAGTCCAAGTGGAAGTGAGAAAAAACTAAAACTATAGGAAAGAGAAACAACTCATATGGAGAGGTAGTTTGACTAACTGCCTAAGAGTGGAAAAAGAGAAATAGTGTCAAAAATAAAGGTCAAGGAGGATAGGTGGAGTCAGGTAGTTCTTAGGTCATTTCACTGTAAATAATTATTTTATCTATCTATCTATCCATCCATCTATCTTTAATCTATTTTATCCCTTGAGTCAGATGATGAAAGAACAAATAGAAAAGAGATTGAAAAACTATAGACACAGGACATAATTGATAGCATAACATTCCTGAAAGAAACAAAAGGATAATATACAATACAGAAATCATTTAGCTTTGGATGGAGGGTAGGTGTAGATTGGCCTATCTTTGTACTGGAAGGAGAGGAGTAGAATGAGGTCAAGTGAGGGGGAAGGCAGCAAGATCCAAGATTTCAAGAGAGTGGAAATTATGTAAAGATAGACAGTAAAAAATTGAAGAACAGACTAGGTAACATTAAAATTATAGGGCAATTTTAAACCTTCAGTGGAGATTGGTAACCACTGAAGAAACTTATCTTCTATTATGTTATATATTTTTCTCAGTAGAATTGAGTAGGTTAAATATAGCCATGAAATAAAGGAATGGATTTTTGGAGGTTTTTTCAGATGAATGTGACCAAAGGATAACAAAGCACAAGAGTTTAAGCTACTGAAAAAAGAGCAGTTTAAAAATGATCTGTGTACTTTTAGTTCTTTGAGGAATCCTCATACTGTTTTTGACAGAGGTTGTAGTAATTTGCAGTCCCACCAACAGTGCACAAGTGTTCCTGTCTCTCTGCATCCACCAGCATTTATTGTTTTTGGAATTTTTAATAAATGCCATTCTGAGTGGGGTAAGGTGATATGTCATTGTGGTTGTAATTTGCATTTCCCCGATGATTAGTGATGTTGAGCATTTTTCATATGTTTATTGGCCATTTGTCTTTCTTCTTTTGAGAAGCTTCTGTTCATGTCTTTTGTCCACTTATTAATAGGATAGAATTGGAGACCATTTCCTAAGTGAGGTAACACAAGAATGGAAAAACAGATACCACATGTACTCACTATTAAATTGGAGCTAACCGATGAGCACACATGTGCACAGAGGGAATTAAAACTCAGTGGAAAGCAACCAAGGGGGAAGGGAGAGGAGGATAGGGGAATAAACCAACCTAATGGGTACTATGGTCACTATTTGGGTGATGGGCACACCTATAGCCAGGACTCAAGCATTATAAAAACAATCCATGTTACCTAAAACATTTGTATTCCTTAATATTTTGAAATAAAAAAAAATTAAAAATCAAAGTAAAAAATTATCTGTGGACCTGGATTTATAATAGAGGTAAATTATATTAGAAAATAGAGGAGGCGTAGGGTCAGAAAAGACAGGCTGGTAGACAGAATTTCCATCTCCCTCCCAGGAAAAAACACAACAAAACAAAAAACAACTGCAATGGGGTAAACTGAACAGACAAGCAAGACAATGAGATTGTTGCAGTATCTCATCAAAAATTAGAATGGAGAACATGATGACACAGGTATCGATGACTTAAGTGAGTGAAGGAGTGACCAGATGTGAGCAGTGGCAGTAATAAAGGGACAAAGGAATTTAAAAAGCCATATTGTGTTAATTAAATAGGAGAAGGATTTTTTTAAAGAGATGGTGTTATAGGAAATAAGAAGAGTATAATTTATACTTATTAGTTAATGTATCTATTAAGATTAAGATTATGTGGATGAGTTTGAGTCCTCCTGGAAGCAGATGCCAATATGGAATTTGATGTGCCAAGATTTATTGGGAAATATGTGTGAGGGATAAAGAAGAAGGGGAAGGGAGAGAGCAGAAGTAGGCAAGGACTGCCTTCAGACAGAAATTCAAGCCTGGCATGTGTGAAAGGAGATAAGGAGGATTGAGTAGGAAGAACTTTAGACCACACAGGCGTTCTGCAGTAGCCTCAGCCAAGCCAATGGGGAGTCCCTAGGCAAGCGTTCCTCCTTGAAAAAATCACACATCAGGCAGGCACGGACCAGATTTAGAAGCCTCACCATGCTCAGTCACTGGCTGAGGGCAGAGCATAGGAAGTTTGGTTTTGCAGTGAAAGCCACAGTGGACCCAAAGCTGCAGGAGCTGGAGGCTGTCAGCCAACTCTGTTTCCATGGAGGATTTATATTAAACCTCAAGCCTGTTCCTTCTATAGCATGGGGGATTTTCTGGAAGAGAGATGTTTCTTGGAAGACCTCTCCAGGAATGCACATTTTGTTCTCTCAGGCATCACCCTGCCCACATAGTCTTTTAAGCCTTTTCCCACAGCATTTATTTTATTTTACTTTTTTGGTTTGTTTTGCTTTCTTTCCTAGAAATATCCCATTTAGAAAATGACACCTACTAAATAAAGATCCTTAAGAAACTTTCCTGGAGGTGGACAAATGTACTTGAAATGGACTGAACAAAGTTATTTTTGTGAGTTAGATGCAGCAGTCCATTTGGTCGCTTGTAAATTTAAGTGAGTTTAATTCCATTCTTGATGTAAAAAAATCTTAAGATCATGACAGTGTGTTCCTGCTGATGAAAGATTTTACTGAGCCCTGTGTATTTCTATTAAGTCCATAAGCTTAGCTACCAGGTGGCTTCTAATCTTCATGCAGAGTATAGCTCAGATGTCAATGTTTTATGGATCAAATTTGAGGGGGAAAATTTTATATATCACAGGTGTTTCAAGGTTAAAGACAAGGGAGGGGTCTCCTTATCATGGAACTGACAGTTGTTGTATGCACTTGATTATACATTTCCATCTTTAATTATAGGAGTTTAAGAATAGTGTATTCACATCTTTGCTATGTATGATCTGGATATTTTAAAAATGGCATTTGTTAGGAAATGACTGAATATAAAAATATACATTGCTATTGAGTTGTCCTTTTCCTGACTGTCAGGTAGTAACTTCATTGTATCATTTAATTCTGATTGGCAGCTGTTGGGTGCTTACATTCATCTCACTTTTTTCTCCTTGAACATTATTCACTTTATGATCATTATATCTTCAATATCTTATGACATAGATTTGAAGTAATCTGGCAGTTTCTGACAGAAAGAAGTTAGAATATAAAAGCCAATTTCCCTGTATATTTTTGGTAGAATTGTTGATACACCTCAAACCATATAAATATTATGAAAAGGTAGTTGAATTAAACTATGTCATTGGGGTATTAATAATTGAACAGCTCACTTTTATGGAAAGTACATACATAATATTTAGAATCACTTGCTAATGATAAGTTTTCTATTCATTAGGAATCTATCAGTAAATAAATGGCAATTATTTTGCAGCATCAACTGCAGCCTTTAAATCTTTCCTTTCTTCCAGTTTGTTATATTATTTAATGGTAGCGATATGGATATTTCTCAAGTACTATTTTGTTCCACCCTCTATGTGTTGTATTAATCATGAGGCACAATATCCCAATTTCCATGATCAGTCTTGAATAACGTGATATTGCCAACCTATTAGTTATGTCCAGTTGTTATGTAAGCTGATGTTTGCATAGTGAAAAACAAACAGGAACAAGTCAATTCTACTATCCCCAATTCAGTTCGTGTAATAGCAAAAAAGGGCAAGTGACAGTAAGAAAGTTTTAGGGTTAAAGTAGTTTTGGAAAAATATGAAAAAAGTAGTCAGAGAATGGAATGCAGGAAGCTAATTATGGAAAAGTCATAGTTTTTAGTAATGGCAGTGTTTAGTCTATGATCTGATCACATAAGTTTTAAAATCATGGTGTAACTCAGGGAGGAGTAAAGGAAAATGATGTGAAAAGGGAAATGATAGGAAAAGAGAGACAATATTCCACCCAGAGACAAAGGCTGTTGAACAAAAACAGCTATCGCTGGAAAGGATGGTGGGGAAGGTGAGTAGAACGTTTATAGAAGGCTGAGCATGGAAGGATGTTTGCTGAATGCCAGAGGGCATCCTAGAAAACTTGTTAGTGTTGGGATATAAGAAGAAGTGGGTGAGAAGTGACTCCCTTATCTTCACTCTTGATAGAAGTGAGGTCTTCCAGGGTTCACTTTTGATTGCTCTGGGGAACAATGGCTTATACTTCATGCAAGGGCTCTACCTTGGTAAAGTCTGGTGAAGCTGGTTCTTACTTCTAACATGTACTTTGTCCTCAATTGGTGACAGTGGGACACTAACAAGTATAATTTGTCTTTTAAGTTAAACATTCTCTATCTGTTAAGCCTATGAATATTTTGCCCTCTCCTTATTCATTCAGTACATATTTAGCATTCATTGAATTGCTACTAAGCATCAGGTGCTCTAGTGAGCACCTAGTCTCTGTCCTCTTGCTGCAGCCAAGAGTAGAGTATAGGAAAGAGAGAAAGCCAGTTTTTTTCCACAAATGATAACCAATTAAAGCTATGGTGGTTTCTGTGGAAGAAAATAGCATTTAGCAGGAAAACATATAACTGGAGGCCTAGATTTGTCTCAGATGTCAGAGGGGCTTCTTTGAAGAAGTGATATTTAACATTTTTTGAAAAGATGATGGTGAGGGGGTGGGGAAAGATGTCAGGCAGAAGGAAATTTGTGAATAAGGAACTGAGGCATGCACTGAACATAATGCCCCTCCACTTCCTGTGATGTACCATTTCTCCCCAACACACAGAGCTTCTGAGATTGTCAAAAGAGCAAACATTTTTTGAAATCTTTAAAGAGAACTTGACAAAGTACACGTGATTCTTTCCAGTAGGGTGAGAGAGGCATGTTTTACCATTGCTCATTACTTCTCCAACTGCTTTTCTTGAGTGAGAGAGGAAAGGAAGAGTTCTTTGCGAGGGAAGTAATATCTTAGAGATTCCTACATAGAATTGGAGTTTGTTGGGTTTCCAAAGTAATTTATGTTAGTGTCAGAAGAATTAGAAGAGCTGTGGAGGAGGAATATAAAAGGAATAGTATGGCTTACTCAAGGCTTTTTAAAAACCATTTGCTCTTATTTTTATAATAGACATTGTGCAGTGAACAATTTTTAAACCATTAGTAAGTTAGTAGTATTTACTAATATTTACTATGTGCCACCAAACTATTGCTTTGGTCATTACCTTTTAAATATATGATGTGTATGCTTGTATAATATTAGTATGTTTGGATTTACTTTATTTGGATTTCTAAGTTTATAAATAAGAACCTTCAAGTTTCTGATACAGCTTACTCATATTTTTCTGAAATAACTATAATTCTACATGAAACCATTTAAAAAATTTATATTAGTTACAGGAAAGTAAACAGAACATATAGTACATAAATTAATATAATTATCTTTTGAAAAGTATAAAAATTGAAGTAAAAATTTAACCATTATTCTCTCAAATAATTTTAGAACAGGCAACTTGAACTACTTTCTGGTCAGTCAGCTATCTCTGTATTCTTGGGTCTCTACAGCTGTTTATAAGGCATATCCCAGTCAACAGAATTCTACCTATTCTTCTGCATCAAACAGTGAGCCCAACCCCGTTCTGCCATCCTGTCTGGAAGACATGTGCTCCCTTTACCATATGAGCTGAATTATCAGCCATCCCTGCCTGATCCCAGACACAGACTGAGGCAGGCTGGTGGCATTAGCCCACTCAACATTTCTTTGTTTCATTTTGTTTCAAGTTTTTTTGTGTATTTATATTTTCTTATTTTTGTGGTCTTATTTTTTCTTCTTTCTCTTGTTTATTTTTTTTTATTTTCATTTATTTATTTATTTATTTTTTTATTTATTTATTTATTTATTTAGACAGAGGCTTACTCTGTTGCCCTGGCTAGAGTGCCGTAGCATCAGCCTAG